TAAAACACATTTTAAAGGATAGTTTTATTCTAAGATTTTTTAAATGCCTGGGATTGAACCTAGGGGGCATTTAACCACTGAGCCAGATTCCCAGCCCTTTTTGTATTTTATTTAGAGACAGGGTCTCACTGAATTGCGAGTAGCCTTACTACTTTGCTGAGGCTGGCTCTGAACTTGTGAATCTCCTGCCTCATCCTCCAGAGCCACTTGCTTGGGAGGAGTGTGAGGTTCAACCAGCCTCAACAACTTAGTAAGGCCCTCAGCAACTCAGTGAGACTCTGTCTCAAAATAAATAATAAAGGGCAGGGGATGTGACTTAGTAGTTAAATGCCCCTGGGTTCAATCCCCAGTACCAAGGGAGGGGATGGGGGGAAATCTAGGTTAAAAACATATAGGTGAAATATATGTAACAAGTCCCTGACAACTCCTGACACAAAGTAGATTTAACTTTTCAACTTTCTCTCCCTGCTCTTTCAGTTTACTTCTGCAGATTATAGGTGATTTGTCAGCACCACCAAAGAAGTTTAAATGCACTTTACCTGTTATGCAGAACTTCTGTTACCCAAAATCTTCTTTGAGAAATGATGTTTTGCTTGCAACTTTCCCAAATTCCCTCTGGAAGGGAAAAAGAAGAGTAGGTGATAAACTTCCGCCCACAGAAAACAATGAATCACTAAAACACCATTTTTCAGGAAGAAACAAAGTTTTCTATGTACCACAGGAATCACTCAGAATGAGATGGAAACAGGTTTGACTTTCAATATGACTACTTTATCCCCCACAATCCATGTGGTAGGAGAAACTATGTAACAGTGACCCAAAGATTCTTAAATCACTGCAGCCTAAGAATATCTGAGAGGAAGATGAGTCATTTGTGAAAACTCTGGCACCTATAACAAAAAGCCAAAAAAGAATCCAAGCAAACTGAAACCGGTTCCTAAGGGCCTAGCAAAATTCTTCACCCTGCGTGCCCTATTCCCTGAAGCAGCCAAGTAGGAGCAAATTGTTCATCTATAACACCCAACAGCTGGATCAGTCACTGGGACACTGGTCTCCACAGGAGGTGATTTACAGATTCAACTGCTCACAAAGAGAAAGAAAACACCTGCAATCTGTACAGTGATTAAAAAACAAAACGTTTATTTTGCTATACATAATGGAATCTATTTCAGCAAACATGTAGAACTCAACAACACTGAACAAATAAATCAATTAAAACCACACACCTATACTTAAATAGAAATATTTTGCTAAAAAAAAAACCAAAACAACAACAAAAAGGGGGCGGGGCTGGGGTTGTGGCTCAGCAGTAGAGCACTCCCCTACCAAGTGCAAGGCCCTGGGTTAGACCCTCAGCATCACAGAAAAAAATAAATAAATAAAATAAAAGCATAAAGAAAATTAAAAAACAAAACAAAAAACCTCCACAAAACTCCAGGATGAATTATTGGTCATTATCAAGTTCTGCTAACTCTTAACAGCTATGGTCAAGTCGTCCATAACTGTTCATTACTGTTGCTTAATTTAACAAATTAAAAACAATCCCTGAGTGTCATATATTCGTAGGAATAGAGTTGATTTTTTTCTTGTTTGTTTGTAAGACTTGTTTTGCCTTTCTTTTCTTTTTTTTCTGGCTAGAGATCAAACCCAAGGGCCTCACACAGGCCAGCAAGAGCTCTACCACTGAGCCACATCCCCAGCAAAAGTTATTCTTTTTTTGAAATACAGGAAACAAACAAATCCTAGAACAATTTCCAAAACATCAATAAAAAAGAGAAAGTGAAGGCATCTATATAGAATGCATACTCAAGATTTACATACACTGGCTAGGGATGTGGCTCAAGCGGTAGCGCGTTTACCTGGGATGTGCGGGGTGCTAGGTTCGATCCTCAGCACCACATAAAAGTAAAATAAAGATGCTGTGTCCACCGAAAACTAAAAAATAAATATTAAAAAATTCTCAGAGCCACCGGTGAAAATTCAGCCAGGGTTCTTGCTCTTGTTGCATATGCTCAAACAGGCATGGTCTGATCCAGAAATCCTGACTCAGCATGTGCCGACAGTGTTTTGGTCAAAGGATGTAGGCTCCATTAAGTTGGACCAAGTGACCTTCCTCGAATGGATTGCCCAAGTCAGCCACCCAATGAAAGAGAACATGCTAGTTCTTTGTACATAAAATAAAGTTCTAAAAAACTTTTTTAAAAATGCTGGGGATATAGCACGGTAGTAAAATATCCCTGAATTCAATACCCGAATAAATAAATAAACAAACAAATATATAATCTGACACAAAAATGAACTTACCACATAACTCAAGTACAGCTCCCATCTCTACCCCTGATCTTCAACTGAGCCCACTTCTCCTCTTACTGAATACATAAAGTTATAAAACCACAAAACAAGAAGTAAATAATGTGCAATCTTTTTCTGCAGGGGGTGGGGGTGGGGGTGGGGTACTGGGGATTGAACTCAGGAGCACTCACCCACTGAGCCTCATCCCCAGCCCTATTTTGTATTTTATTTATTTATTTAAAGAGAGAGTGAGAGAGTGAGAGAATTTTTTAAATATTTATTTTTTAGTCACCGGCAGATGCAACATCTTTGTTCTGTGTGTGGTGCTGAGGATCAATCCGGGCAGCACGCATGCCAGGCGAGCGCGCTACCGCTTGAGCCACATCCCCAGCCCTTGTATTTTATTTAGAGACAGGGTCTCACTGAGATGCTGAGTGCCTCAATTTTGCTGAAGTTGGCTTTAAACTCACAATCCTCCGGTCTCAGCCTCCCAAACCCTGGGATTATAGGAGTGTGCGCTACCACGTTGGCTTAATAATATGCAATCTTTATTTTAGTTTATTGTTGGTGTCATCATTTTTATATTTCAAGTGCAACATAGAAGTTATTTCCTTTTACATCTCTTTACCTTCCACCATTTATAATACAATTGTCTTACTATTTCTTCAACATACATTTGGAACCATACCAAAAAATTATCATTTGTATGTCAACAATTAAACAGTTTTAAAATTTGAATAATACGGGCTAGGGTTGTAGCTCAATGGTGGAGTGCTTGCCTGGGTTTGAATAATGTGCAATCTTTAAATGGTAATGTAAACCAGGTTTATAACAGAACTCCATAATGATTCACATCCACAAACTCCCTACAAGTCCAGATCCCCAAATACCATTCATAAAGCATTTTCCCCTCTAGCCTAAAATTCAATTTAATACCAAATAAGACAAAAATTAAAAAATACAATAGTTAAAAACTCATCCTTTATACATGCAACCACATTGACAAATTAATTTGTGTGTGTGTGTGTGTGTGTGTGTGTGTGTATGTTGGGGATTAAACCCAGGCCCTTATGTATGCTAGGCAAGCAGGTGCTCTGCCACTAAGCCACATCCTCAAACCAATGAGGACCTTTTCCAATAAATACTGCTGCCGAAAATTTTATTCAACAATTCAGCATCTCATATAATAATTCAACTTTTGTTGAGAAGAATTGATGAAAAATTTTTCTGAAAGTTACATAATTTTTAAGGCAGCTATTTTAACACACCCAGAGGTAAGGATTACACGTTGGTTAAACTGTAAGCTTACAAAAATGTGGAACCTTTGTAGCCTGGTTTTCCATGGGCTTTCCTAAGAGGCACAGCATCAGATACACACACCCTGAAATGTCTGTGGAGTAGTTTTCYTGCAGTTCATGTTGTTGACTACAAAATGTCCCAGGGAAGCGGGTAATCTGTATATCAGGTCTTCTGATATATGGGATATAAAAGGTTAATTTCATTTTCTTTCTTTAAAATATTTTTTAGTTATACATAAACATAATATTTTTATTTTATTGATTCATTTTCATGTGGTGCTGAGGATCGAACCAAGTGCCTCATATATGTGAGGCAAGCACCCTGCCAAGCCATGACCCCAGCCCTCCTTTTATTTTTATTAATACTTTTATTTGGGGGGTGGGGGTACTGGGGACTGAACTCAGGGGCACTCAGCCACTGAGCCACATCCTCAGCCCTAGTTTGTATTTTATTTAGAGACAGAATCTCACTGAGTTGCTTAGCACCTTGACATTGTTCAAGCTGGCTTTGAATTCGAAATTATCCAGTCTCAGCCTCCAGAGCTGCTGGGATTTACAGGCATGTGCCACCATGCCCGGCCTTAATACAATTCTTGGTGGGGGGCAATAACATTAAAGGAAACTAATATAAACCCCAATCACAGCCCTTTAAAAATGTTTTGGTTAGGGGCTGGAGTCATAGCTCAGTGGTAGAGAGCTTGCCTAGCACATATGAGTCACTGGGTTCAATCCTCAGCACCATATAAAAATAAACAAAGGTATTGTGTCCACCTACAACTAAAAAAAAAAGTGTTTTGGTTAACTAGGCATGATGAGGCACACCTGTAATCACAGTGACTTTGAGGCTGAATCAGGAGGAAGTTCGAGGCTAGCCTCATCAATTTAGTGAGGCTCTAACAACTTAGCAAGACCCTATCTCCAAATAAAAAATAAATAAATAAAAAGGGCTGGGTATGTGGCTCAGTGGTTAAGCACCCCTGGATTCAAGTCCCAGTTTAAAAAAAAAAAAAAAAGGTTTGTTTATTCATTATTTCCTGACTATATGAATAGTTTTTCCAAGTGTAAAATGTTACTAACTTACAAAGGAGTTTATTGGTAAAACTGGCTTATACTTACTATTTATTTTGGTTCCAGTGTACCCCCTAACCTTCACATATTGGAGGCTTTCCTTAGTGTAGCCTATTGGGAATTCTTTGGGGGCACTGCTCGCAGAAGAGAATGTTGGTCTCCCACATTCTTGGGAAGGGGAGAATTATAAAAGACTGAGCCTAACTCCTGAATCTCTCTGGTTTCCTGTTTGGCAATGATATCTCCTGATCCCATGTGGGCTCTTGCCATTATACCTTCCACCATAAGGCTTCAGTGGAGACAAGCAGAAGCTGATGCCATGTCCCTGAACTCCAAAACTGTGAGCTAAATAAACCTGTTTTCTTTAAAAGTAGGCTGCCTCAGGTATCTTGTTACAGTAACAGAAAACTGACTAATCACTATACATATTCTTTTTGTATAAATGTGTATAATAATTTAACCCTAGCATCTCATAAAATGGAGGAAGGGTAATTTTCCTTCTGAAATAAAGAACCACTGATTTCTTTAATGAATGGTAGCATCATCACTTTGTGTGTGAGTGTGTGTGTGTGTGTATGTCTGTGTGGTGGTGGTGCTGGTAGATTCTATTATTAGAACCATTATAAAGATAAGTAAGTCAGGCTGGGACTACAGCTCAGTGGCAGGGTGCTTGCCTAGAATATCTTGAGGCACTGGGTTCAATCCTCCACACCACATAAAAATGAATAAAATGAAGGTATGCTGTCCATCTACAACTACCAAAAAAAAWTTTTTAAAAAGGATAAGGAATTAAGCTTCTGAAAGTTTATATAATTTGCACAGATCATTCAGTTATTTGAAGTCTGACTGTCTTGTGCTGAAATTTGGGGGTGGGGGAAGTCTTAAAAAATTATATAGAGGGCTGGGGATGTGGCTCAAGCGGTAACTGCACGCATGCACTCGCCTGGCATGCGTGCA